TTTTGAAAAATATTCTTATAATTATTGCGTTTCAATGAATAAGCAAAATGTTTTATGAATTGTTGTAAAATGGATATGCGATGAACTATGTGCTATAACTTCCGAACCAGATAATTTAAATACTACAACTGCAAGTGCTGATATGCTCATGAACAAGAACAAGCGAATTCACTATGGCAATAATTTGACTCAAAAGTATTACAAGTAAAAACTAAAAACTACAACCATTCCAAGTGTGATGATCCCTGATGTTACGCCATTACTTACGACATTCCGCACTTGGAAAGAACAAAAAATCCATTGGAATATTAATAATAATTAACAATATAAACAAACGTTTCCAGAAATGTACAAGTTAAGGTCAAAGTATTTATCTATTCCAGCAACTTCGGTACCGTCAAAATGTGTCTTTTCTAAAACTGGATAAATCACAAATGACCGCCGAAATAGAATTTCACCGAAAAATTGGGATATTATAATTTTCTTTAATTCAAATTTAAACATATTTTAAATTTTTTTTTTAGATTTCATTATTATATAGAAATATAAAATATTGAGTTGTATCATAATAATTAATAAAGTAATCATGTTAAAGCTAATGAGTTATTGCTAATAATAAGCTTTAAATATGTCCAGGAGATATGACTTTACTAATATAATAATAAAAAATAAATAAAAATAAGTAGTATACAATGTTTGGTAAGTTTGGTTTGCTTTATTAATGAGATAAGTGGGCGAGCAAAATCACACTACCTAATACCTACCTACTATTTAGTGTTTGTACTAACCGTGTGATTTTTTCGAATACAGAGTAACTGATAGTAATAATATTAAATTAATAATTAATTGACCGAGAGATATTTTTGAGTGAATCTCCCGATTGTTATAACTTCTTGATTATCGAAATCACTCGATTGTTCCCATCACTAGTAGGTACTATAGATAATTTCAAAATGAATTCACAAGATATATGTCATATGTTTGATTCAGACTTATCTTGAGGATTATCTTGATGATTCTGATGACGATCCTAGTTGGGAGTTATCGCACAATGTTAATTTATGTAGTAAGTACCTGTACATTATTATACATAATAAACAATTTTTTTTTTACTATCCATATTTTTATATTATATTTCATTCTTTATGTAGATGAAAGTGATTCAGTCTGAAGGAATAAACAAAACGTTGTTTATTTCCAGAAACTAGTTATCCACATCTTGATAGTAATTATTTTAGTTGAATTGTACAACAGTTGAGATTAATTACATGAATAAAACACGTTGGCAATATACTCAAAAAAAGTTTCTCCGGTTATCCAACCTTTTCAGTTACTGCCATCGACCATTCACTTGGTATTGTATTGTTTTAGCAATGCCTTTAGGCATACGTTTTCCAGCAAAAACCAGCATGGTGGGAGCCAATGATCCATCAAAAATATTAAATAATACTGTTAATGCTGCTTTTCGTTATTACCACACACCTCATACATATTTTTTTCTCCTCTTACACTCAAAACTTTTTCATCTTTAGGACAAAGCATGAAACCGAACTCATCTGTATGTCTGTCAAGTAATTTTCATTTAAAAAGGTATAAACATTATCAAACCAAACTTCTTGATTTAGTAACCTTTTTGACCGTTCTTTTAGGTATGCTGGGATTACGATTCATAAACAATTTTAAACATTTCTTCTCAGGATTTCCATTAAATAGTTAATCAACCCCCACTTCTCTAGTTATATGTCCAACTGACACTTTTAATTTCGTGAAGTAATAGGAAAACCCCGTTGACTCATTGCTTCAATCCAATTTACAAAAAGAGTCGGCATAATTCTAGTTTAGCAACCTATCGATTTTTAAGGTTTTTTTTTCCAAAATGTGTGTCTTGGGGTGCTTAATAAGAATGTAAAAAAAAAGGTCGGACGGACTTAGTTTCGAAATTATCGGTGAAAAACTTCAAAAAGTAGATTTTTTTCAAAATGTGAATTATTTTCAAAAAAATACTTAGAATTGATTTTTTTCGACATTTTTTTTTTTTATCAAAATGTGTAGTTTTGACGCACAGTACATTGGTGTGATCAGAACTTACCTCGCGTACTTACTTTTGAAGTTTTTGCACGTAAACAATGGAAAATAGCATTTTCAAAATTAATCCAAAAATTCTTTTAAAACTTGTTTACAATCAATATTTTTAATATTTTTTTTTTACTACATACGGTTCCAGATGAAAAAGTTTTTAGTGAAGTCAGAAATAGTTTATCTCACTTAGTTTCAGAGTTAGAGACATTAAAGGTTTAATAATTTATGACATTTCGCAAAAATCTAATACAGGTAAAATAAATAGGTAGGTACAATTTTGCCAAAATAGCATCATTAAAAGCAGAAAACACAAGCCCATATTTAATTGATAATTAGGTAAAATATAAATAAATATAATATACAATTATAATATATTATTATACAAGATAAAATAATTATAATAACTACTTAAATAGAAATGTATAAATAATTTTCAAAAATAACTGTTTCTTTATATATCTTTATCCAACCTACATAGGCTAAGAATAATAAAAAAATTTTAAAAAATCATCTTCCTCAGTGTCTGAATCCGATTCTGCATTATCCTCTGTCATCGTTTCTTGATCTAAAATTGATCCATTTGGATTATAAACTTGTGCCTCAAGTTTAAAAAATTCAACCAAAGGGTTTAGAGTTGATGCACAGCTAAGATGCAGAGACCTAAGAATTGATTACCTACTTCAATATTAATATAAGCCACATGATTATCCAAGAGTATAAAAGTAGACTGATCAGATTGATGGATTTACATTTTTATAATAATATTTAATAAATATTAAAAATCTTCTCCTGTCATCTAACTTGATAAATTGGCACTTCCTAAAAACCCAACTGGGCTAATAGTTAAAAAACAGGGTTTAATTTTTTTTCGAGGAAAATTAACATCGGAGGCGCTTGTTTCCAATAGCACTGATAGCTAATGCTACAGTTACAAGTGTTCTTCTTCCGCCTGATATAATAGCCAAAACTTGTACCTTTTAAAGAAATTATTTTAGATGGTCGATGTACAATAGAAGGTAACTCCAATTTCCATTGTAAATGTTGTGAGGGTCAACCTGAAATAGTTTAGGTCAAACCGTCGTAACTCTTAGACTATTAGGATTTTAGAAAAATATTACATTTTTACAAATTTGATCATAACGGAAGGCAGTCGTGGTAATTATTGATTAATTTCATTATCCAACAGTATTGATTTACTACAATTAATATCATGAAACGGTTGTTGGTTCAATACCGGAACACGTTTGTTATTCTCCAAAAAAATGGCTGAGACGACCTAGTATTATTTTTTCATAATTCGTATATTATTATTCCACTCACCATATTTTACACAAATTACAAATCTTCCATCATACATTTTTTTAAGTCTTAAAAATACTACAATTTGAATACTTATATTTTTTAAACTTGTAGAGAATTTGACGATAAAATTATTATCTATAATCAAAATCTAATGCCTATAATTAGATTAAAAAAGTAAAATATTTTAAATTAAAATTTTATATGTATAGAAAATGCTAACATAAACATTTAGTGAAAATTTAAAGTATCTAGTTTATTATAGTCTTTGGGTTACAACAATATAAAAGCAAATCCATTTTGTGTAAAAATTCTTTTTTTTTCCTAAATTTTTTTCTTGTTTTCTGGCACTTATTAAAACAACTGGGAAGTTAAATTTTGACCCCCCGAATGCCCCAAGTAGATTCACTTTCCCATCAGAAAAGATACTGAAGTTGAAAATTTAAGCATTATTTCGACCATCTATCGTATTTGTATATAAAAAAAAAACAAACATCATTGTAAAATCAAACATTTATCTCTCCACTCATAAACTAAAACTAAAGTTAAATTATACTTTTTTGGTTCCGGATAGAATATCGAAATTAATATAAATTACGTTTTGAACTTGATAATAGTAATCACTTAGTAAGTAGTAACTATGGTCCACTTTTAATTTTTTTTTCCGTTTTTCACGTAATGCTTCGATTTTTAACCAACAAATTCAATAATGTTATTGGTAGTAAAGTGAATCTAGTTGGTGAATTGGAGAAGTCAACATTTAAAATTTAAAAGAAGCATTCTCATAAATAGTTCATACTGTAACCAAAAAATCTAAAAAAATATAGTCATGAACCCAATTTTTTTTTATAGACATTTTATGTTAAAATGTTTACGAAGTTACTTATTAAAACAAGAATTACTATTTTAATTATTGTTTTGTACCTTAAAAGTATTATTCATGGACATACGAAACGTTTAGATTATATTATTATATTTAATATAGGTACACAATGACATTTTCAATTGCAATTTTTTCTGCAAAAATGAATTTACCTATTAATGAGTAAAATTAATTACTTTAACCATAAGAATATCATAAAATATATATAGTAAATAGTAATGTTATAGGCTGTCAGGCCCACTATCGCTTTTCGTATACAATAGTTTTAAATCATTGAATCAAAATTTAACACATCCATTACAGCGATCATTCTAGAATTCGAAACACTTACTACACAACAGAGTGATTATATTATAGTATTAGTAATATGGTAATATTTATTGTTAGTAATATAGAGCTAACATAATATAAAGATTACTTTCCCTTATTTTTATTTTTATTAACTTTTATTATTTTAGTTTTTTTAAAATTACTGTCGATAAAAACAATGTTGCTCTGTCACACTTAAAAATATAATATAACATTCCCCACAAGTCACAAGTTTTTAATAGTGTAATCTAAAATAAAGTTGAGCGAGGTTGAGACTTTTCGAACAGTTTTTTTTTTATTAATAAACAACAATAGGTACCCGAATGAAATACATATTGAGTCATTTTTAAAGTTCATATTTGGTACAAGTTTAGTTCATATAATTAAATCAGGCTTTAGACTTGAGACGATAACACATTTAGTATCACAGTCAACCGTAATGATGCGTCGATGGTAGTGATTGGTGATGTGGCAGTAATATTGTAGCGTAAGCCGCGTAGGTGGACACGGCGCACTGGTTCTTTCCACGGGCTAAGTACATGTAACCGTCGTCACCCCATTTCGAGCTCCACCAGTTTTTCAAAATCCAAGCGTCCTTCGTGTACCCGACCAGCAACATAGCGTGGTTAACGGTGTTGGACGAACAGGCTGGATCATCGTATACTCCAGATCTATAAAAATATATAAATGTAGGTAATATATTATGTTTAAGAGGACGTCACAACCGCATGTCTCCGTCTTACAAAAGTACAACATACCAAAAACTGTTTTTCACGGGAGAACGTTACCCCATTTTTATAAATAGTAGAATTACCAAAACTCCACATCATATAGGGAAGAACTTAATCTGTGTAGCAGTGTTTTAATTTTTTTTGATAGCACTAACTAATAATTTTTAATAATTAAATGAAAAAACCTAATGTTGTCAATCTGATAGCATTATATTGTGTATATATACGAAGCAACAGGACTATTTAACAAATTGTCATTACAAAGGTTGCTATATTTTCAAATAGTTCAATACACGCTGTATATTAACCAAATAATAAAAATACTGCGACACTGATAAAGTTCTTCCCTATTAGTTGTGGAATTTTGTTAATTCTACTATAAATACAGAGGGAGTACAATTGTCCCATGAAAAACCGTTTTTGCTATGTTATACATTTCTTGAACTTAGACATCACTTACGGATATGACGTTAACATAATTGCCTTCATCAGGCATTTTTTTAGGGGTAGGGGCAGGGCAAAGATAATCGAAAAAATAAATATCGTTTTTTTATACAGTAAACTCATGCTTTAATACATTATAATACAACATATAGGTCTAAAATATACAAATTATATAGTATCATGTTAATATAAATATAAATTAAATGTTTGGACAAACATAATTTAAAACCCATAGATGAGGGGCAATTGATACTTCCCAAAATCGCGTCGGCAACCAATAATCCATGTTAAACATTTATAGATTAATGACAATAAGTAATAATTTCGAAACAAAATTCAAGCAATCAGTGGCACACCCAGGAATATTTTTAGTGAGTGGGGGGAGGGGGTTCTATTCAATATTAATAATTTGATTTACTATATAGATTAATATTTATGGCCCTATTCAAACATATGGTAAAATGATGTAAAAAAACAGTATACTTTATTTGTACATCTAACATATTATTATGGTCTACCTATATAGAAAGAGAGGGAGACCACTATTCCTGAATGGAACGGGTTGTGGATGGGCTCCACCAAGGTTCCTTGGACTCGTCGTCTGATTCCGTACGTCGAAAGACGGGAGAATCGGACGACACCAAAGATCCCGTGGACCTATCACATGACATAGGCGTTAACCGGACATGGTTGCTTTCCAGCAGTTCATGTATCGTATGGGCAGGGCCCCGATCCCACGCTGCATGCACTGCCCCTGCAGATGGGACACAGTTGAGCACGCCATTTTCGCTGCCCGAACTGCTGAGCTGAACTCCGCGAATATCTGGGTCGGGGACATTCTGTGCGGGGCATTGTTAGAAGACCTACCAGCAAACCAACTGGAAAGAGCGATAGCACGCAGAGAAGAAGATAAGACGTTCAGGCTCCTCCACAAAATGGTGAAGGAGATCCTGATTCTCAATGAAGCTGAGGAGATTTCTCGCCAGGTGGCGGAGGCTGTGGACGGATGAAACTTCGGACGGAACGAGATATATGTATAACTATTCCCATGTGGCAAAAACCAATGTAATTTGTAAACTCTAATGGTGCCGAGGGTATACGAATATATACCAGTCTGGCTGAGGAATGTATACTCCCGACCATGATAGTCAACCAAAGATGTATAAACGTATTGTAAAATAAACGATGTTATATGGGGGCCAACCATTGTGAAAACAGTACGGCCCTCATGCAATGATTAGCAACAAAAAAACGGTATGCAATATAGTTTAATTTTATAATTCTAATTCCAATCTCTTGTTTTATGTTTTTCCTATCTCATTGACTATCTCCTAGGCGTAATATCCCTGTGGATTGATAACATTGATTAGCCGTTAATTCTGAATTATCCAGTTGTATTCCGTTGATAAGTTTTAATACGTAGTAATGTAGAAAACGGACGTTTTCCTAATGCTGTTGTAACTGCTAAAGTGATGAAAATTTAAAGCAACTTTCAAATAACCGTACGCATTGTTAAATGTCAATATCTCAAATGTCATATATAGTATATACCCACGTATAGATTTTAACCATAGCTGTTTGAACAGACCTATTTATTTATATCAGTTTCTTCTTATCATCCGTGTCGTGCTGTCGTTGAATTTATTATCTTCGTGTTTTGTAGTGCTTATTAATGTTTCAAAAAAGCGAAAAATTGATGATGAAAATAGAACTTTTAACAAGTCATGGGAGACTGAGTATTTATTTATAATTAACAAACAAAAAACTGACTAAAATAAGGAGGTATAAACAAAGAAATGTATGAATAAAAATGCAGTCACCCTGACCAGCATAACCATTTTTTTAGATTTTGATCCCACATTTTTTTTTTAATAATCTCATATCTTCTTTATAGATTTATAAGAACATCAAGTCACTTTTTATTTAATTTTAGGTTTATACCTTTTTTCGTATGTTAATTGTATTTAATAATACAAATATAATGAACGCAATACTTTTTTTATTAATGTTCTCAACAAAATACTTAAGTAATAGCTATCAATATTTTAGTAATGTTTAAGGTATCTTCAAATCTAAAAACGAAGTGATCTAATACAATATGAACATAAACTAATTTAATTTTATGCTTAGTTTTAAAGCTAAAATTAAAGGTAATTTGAAATTTGAATGTACCTATGTAGTTTATAACCAGCATATATACCAATGATTCAGCAGTTACGCCAATGTGAACAAACATTGTAAATTATTTATAGTGATTTCACGCCATTGGTGCCCGCATTGCTGCAAGCAATACCCTGACATAGAGGAACCTGTTTCGTCGCGAATCATCGCGTTCAAACGCTGGGCAGAGTATAGTTTCTATATCTAATCTAATTAGGTAATATTTTACACTAATGGTTAATGAGTAATTATTATTCATTATTTTTTTAGCAAAAGAATAAAAAAAAAAAAACAAATAGAAGTTTGAGTATTACTATTAAATAGAAACCCAAAGTATTTGAAATATCAGGTGCTTAAAAAAAAGTGTATACATACGAATACAGTTGAAATGTTTTTGGACTTGCATTCACTGATACGCTGATGGGTCCTATAAGAGCCACAGCTGCTTTTAGTGCGTGTTCATCGGATTGTGGCAGTATTGAAATGTTTTCAATTTGAGTTACCGCTCTAAACTTTTTAAAATGACACAATGTTTTCTGAAATAAAACTGGTAAAATTAAAAATCTATAAAAACATTTTATTAAGAATTTAATCGTACCTTAGTAAAAATACAAAAATATGTGTATAAATATGGACGTATAATTTATAAAATAAGTGGGAAAAAAGTTTATTTCTAAATCAGTATTATTTATGGAAAAGAAATCCACAATATCATCCTTTTCAATCACTGTTACGACTACGTTTCACTTATTAAAATCCCATATCGTGTAACAAGGAATATAAATTTTATGATTATGTTAATACTGTAATATAACTAACGTATAAATGTAACATAGAAGTATACAACCAGACTGCATCAGGGACTGTAAAAATGATATGTAACTATTCACCACAACCTGGTTTATTAGAAAAATACAACTTTATATAGTTTAGGTGAAAAATAAAAGGAAAATAGGCTTAAGTTCAAAAAATAACCAGCTAAAATTATGATAAGATGGAAAATTTTCATGTTCAAAACATGATATTTTGCATATTTGAGGATTTTTGTGCATAGAAATCCGGTCACTACCTACTCATAACCTATTAACGTACATTCGTTTACAATAAAATATTATAATATTATTCTTAATCAGGATAATCACGTTAATATATTTTATCTTACATTTGTTTACGTATTATTTTATTATTACTTAGGTACTTAATATTATTCTTTATTTATTCTAATATATATTTAAATGACAAATTTCAAGTGCATGTGGCACATAGATTCTATAAAAGTATTCTCAGCTATAACAAAATATATCCGACCTTGTATAAATACTACGGATACCTAGGTGTTGGCGAAGATACCTAAATGTTATATATGAACCCATGTCCAAGAACACAGCCTGGCTTGGTTTAAACAATTACATGACTTTGTTGCTTATATTATCTATATTATTAAAAAAAATTAAACGTTTATGTGTGAAAAAAACTGACATACTCACCTTCGCTTTGTACGAATACTCAATTCCTTGCATAATTCCTCCAACTCTCTGGAGATACTGCAGTGTGTTTTTTAAAGAGCCCCCGGAGCAACCGAGGTTTCCATATGCGATTGAACAGTCAATAATTTGTTGTGAGCTAAACATAACCCGGGACAATATCAACAAAAAGTCAACTTTTGTGCGTTTTAGGTTTCGTTTCATTCGGTTTTATTCATTTTTTTTTATAGGTACTCACCTCAACGTGTGCAACTTTCCTGTGGCTTTGAACAGCTGTCCTTCGAGCATTGAAGCTATACTGAAAGCGTAACAGGCACCGCAGTCTAGCTGATTCCATCCGGGAGTGTTGAACCCTCTTTCCCGCCAATCAACCTGTCGATCAGAAAACAGATTTTTAGTAATTTTACGGACACCGTTAGCCTTAAACGTGTATTATTGGCTCTCGGAAAATTATAAAATGTACATAACAATATTACATAAAAATATTTTGCGATACAACTAAAACAAATTCCCCTCTATCGCTAAGTTTGTCTGTTAGTAAATATTTTCATTAGGTACTTGAATATTTTAAATTTTATCCATTGGAGTAAATTTACTTAATCACGAGTCAAAAAAATTTAATTATTCAAAATTCTGTTGAAAAAATTACTTTTAAATTTTCAATATTTTAATTTCACCATTATTCTTAGGCTGTCACTTGCCACTTTGTTATGCTTTAGTGTGGATGGAAACTACAAATTAAACTTACAAATTTTTCTTTAAAAACATACCTACCTAGTTTATTATTTTAATTTTTAGAGGAGATTTAGAATTGTTTATATGGTACCTATTTGTCTTAATAAATTACTTTTCCATTACCTTATGTTTTTAATATTCATATTATCTAATATCACAACAACATTTTATTGTTTTGATGCCACTGCAAATCTACTAATTTTTCGTACATATATGCCTATTGTAATATGAACAATTGATTATGATCATATATTTATATTTTATATACCTCTTCGGGAATTGATCTCGTATGATGTTGTAATGGATAGGTGTGAATATTGGTACCTTTGGTTAATTTGCTTGACGAAAGACTTGTAAAATGTCTATTGTACAGATGTATAGGCTGTAAAATATACAAAATCATAACTAAATGGATAAATAAAACTTTTTAAAGAGGTGGGCAAGTTGGCGTCGCTCTGCTGTACATTAGGTTACAAGTGAGTCACTGTAATGGATGGTGTTAAATTTGAATTCGATGATATAATATCATTGTATAAAAAACGATTCTGAGTGAAGATGATCAGCCAGCCTATGATATTACTAAGTATATTTAATGATATTATTGTTGATACAAGTATCAGCATACTTTTAACTAGGTATAATATGATGGTTATTAGTAATAATTATGCTTATGAGTTATGCATTTTTTTTTAAGTTGGAAAAGTAGGTTATATAAGTTTTACATTTCAATTGTTGCCCGGTGGTGTGGGGGTGAACCATAGCGGCGTGTTCCAGCCTGAGTGGATAATCGAGCTACTGGTAATACTGTGTAGATAATAACAGTTTTACGTTATCTATATTATAGGTAATATATAAAAGAAAGTTCAAAAAAATGTTAGACCATGTATAACTCAAGAACGTCTGGACCGATTTTAAAAATGATTTCATCATTAGAATGCTACATTATCCCTGAGTGCTGTATGCTTTTTTAAAAAGGGGAAATTAAAACCCAGAGAGGTGCTCAAACAGGGTTTTTGATATTTACGATGGACATTTTTGTTTATAAATGGTTGCTTTTTGGTTTAAAGTAGTACCTATAAGTTGATGATGCATATTTGAGCATATTTCTCAACTATTTGTGCATAGTGACTCATATTTTTACTATTTATCTTTGCATATTTGCATCATATTTGCGATTTGCCACATATCAGTGCATATTGTAAGCCCCCAAAACATACTACTAATTGTTTCCACTAATAATCATTTTTTGTATTCCTTAATTTATTATTGAATTCAAATTTAACACATCCATTAAAGTGATCTACTCAATGACGAGGTACATTGGAGTAATTACCAACTACTAACTGTACTGCTGAGTGTTTAACTTGCAACATTTCATATTGTAATTTTAAAAATAACATTTTACTACATACAAAAGTAGAACTTTAGGTTCAGAAATAAATGTTCTACCAGTATATATCATAAATTTTTTGTTTAACCAAAATAGTATAGCTATTGTTTTAGGATAAAAAAATTGATTACCATGTCAGCTAAATGATTCAAATCTAGTGTGTAATTGTGTTTTCCACCTTTGGCCTCCTCGTTGTGTCTGTTAATATGGTGGAAGTTCTCCTCCCACGCTGAGCGATGGTGGTGTTCATTAGTTCTTATGTATGTTTTATTATGTTCTGCCTATAAAATAAAAATCAAGATTTCTTAATTTTGTCCGGAATGATCATAAACGGACTTAGCCTATAAGCTTATAACCGTTTTTATTATACTATATGCATATGATTTTACTGTAGCCGAGCTATGTCTATATAAACACAATTAACGTGTTGTTAATTTATATTATATAAGCCCACGATAATAGAGTGACCGTGCAGAATGAAATATATTAGAATGATAACAGAATGAAATACAATACAACAATAATAGCACATATTATGTAATTTGAATATGATCTGTGACTTATAAAATATTTTAAAATAAAACACTCTTGGTAAATTAAATAGGTATAAAATACTGGTTTTGAAACAAATAGCTCATCCACCCACTACCCTGCCAGGTACTGTGACGTAAGTATTTCTCCGTTTCTCACTGGTCCGCTGCCGGGTGTCCCGTCAATAGATAGCGGATAATTGGTAGCGCGACAATTGATAGCGGTCAATTTATAGAGCGTAAATAGATCGCGAGCGACTTTTGATAGTATGACAATTTGTAGCGTCGTATAGAATTCAATAATCAAACAATTATTAACCGAAAAAAACCAAATAAAACAGATAAAATATATCATGATTGGAAACATAATATATATTAGTATATTACTATCTAAAATAATATGGGCAATATAGATAATGAGACAATTCAATACTTACACTATAGTACCTGTACCATAAACTATATCAGTTGTCAGTCGGTACAACACCATACAACAGTACTACTTCTAACAATTACCTATATAATATAGTAATTTTAAAATGTCTTTAAAATATGTAAAAAGTGAAAGAGGTTCAAATATATTAGTTGATGATGGTTTCATGTACCATTTCGAAAAAAATGGAGTACAAAAGAAGATATGGAGATGCGTACGTTTTAAAAATAAATGCCGAGGCCGCGTTCATGTTATTGGTGATATCGATAATGAGAAAATTTCAAAAAAAATTGACCATAACCATGTTCCTGATATTACTCAAATAGAAGTTAAAACTGCAATAAATGAGATGAAAATAAATGCAAAATGTACATCTAATTCCACGCATTCAGTCATTGGAACACTTGCTTCTCAGGTACATACTATATTATTTCTTTAAGTTATTATTATTATTATTATTTTTATTATTAAGGTATCTGCTTCAGTTGCTGGACAATTACCGAATGTGCCAGCTTTAAAAAGAACCGTTCAGAGAGTTCGTCAATCTCATTTCGGAGCTCCAATTAATCCTCAAAATTTTAATTTTGAAATTCCAGACCAATTCACGAAAACAACGAATGGTGAGCAATTTTTACAATTTGATAATAAATCTGAGACAAATCGAATTCTATTATTCTGTACAAAACGGAACCTCGAATTAATGGTTAACTGTGACAATTGGTTTTGTGACGGAACATTCTCATGTGCCCCTCAAATATTTCAACAACTTTATACTATTCACGCTGTTTATTATTCGAACGTTATTCCTTCTGTGTATATTTTACTACCCGATAAAAAGGAAAATACATATAAATTAATGTTTCAAGCTTTAAAGTCATTAATATCTAATTTAAGCCCGCTTAATATAATGATGGACTTTGAAAAGGGGGCAATGAATGCTGTCAAATTTGAGTTTCCAAATGCATCTATAAATGGATGTTTTTTTCATTTATCCCAATGTGTATGGCGTCACGTTCAAGAAACTGGATTACAAAAAAAATATAGAGAAAATTCAGATTTTGCATTATACATACGAATGTTACCAGCTTTGGCGTATGTACCAACAAATAAAGTTGTTGATGCATTTGAGAAACTTTTAGACACAGATTTTTATATTCAAAATGAAGAGGTATTGATGCCATTAATAGATTATTTTGAGGGAAATTGGATTGGTCGTTTACACAGAAGTAAAAAAAGAAGAGAACCTAATTTTCCAATAAATATATGGAACTGTTATGATTTAGTATCTGCTGATTTACCCCGAACAAATAACTCCGTAGAAGGGTGGCACAATTGTTTTTCTGCAATGTTAAACTCTTCATCGCACCCAACAATATGGAAGTTCATAAATGCATTGCAAAAAGAGGAACAAGTAAACAGAATGAAAATAGAGCAATATATTGCAGGAATGGAACCACCATCAAAAAAAATTTATAAAGATCGGAGTGCTAAAATCAAAAAAAATTGTTTAGATTATGATAATAGAACAATTGAAGACTATCTTAGAGGCATAGCACATAACTTCCAGTTACAGATATAATATTTTTAGGCAGCTAAATTTTAATTATGACAGACATGTAAAATGACTTATAAAATATTATACTTAATAATTTTAATAAAATGTTTATAATATATTTTTTTTAGGCAGCTAAATTTTAATTATGAGTATGACACGTAAATTATGACTTATAAGTTATAACATATTATACTTGATAATTTTTAGTTAATAAAGATTTTTATATATAATTTTAATTATGGCTTGCAATATTTATTACTATATAGTATATTTTTTTTGATAATTGTTTGGTCATCTAATTCTTTAGTATGCTACAAATTGTCAAACTATCAAAAGTCGCTCGCAATCAATTTACGTGCTATAAATTGACCGCTATCAGTTGTCGCGCTATCAATTATCCGCTATCTATTGACGTATATCCCCGCTGCCGACACAGACTCCACCACCACTCCACGGCTTGACCAGTTGGGAAAATACTTAAGTCACAGACATGTGTATCACGAGTTGCTGACATACCTAATTAATTAATCATGGTGACCTAATCGTAATAATAAACCAAGCAGCATAATTTATGTCACTACTAATTATTATTATTATTATTATTATATTTATTGACGGAAAAAACTCCATTTACAAAACAATATATATAAAATTGTGTAGAGACACAGATACAATAGAATTAGGTACGAATAATATAAAATTCACATGCAATTATATAACAAAGAATATATTATGAGGTATATAATTTTACAGCCATAATTAATTATTAACTAAAATTAATATCCATAGTGTTTCCTATAGACATCAGTATATTTGTAAGTGAAGATTTTAAGTATGTTTTAGAAACATTATTGATTAAAAAACTTTCTTGATTTCTGGTGGATTTGGTATTAATTCGAAAATTTAATCGTTCCAGAAAATAAGGCAGTCTATTGAGTTGTCTAATTGTTTTAATAAAAATTCATTATGAAGGGTACTTCTCCTTGTGTTTAGCGATTGTATATTAAACTATGATAATATTCCTTTGTAATCTGCATGTCGTCCTTTAAATTTAAATGCTAAAAAACGTAGGAAACGATTCTTAACAGCTTCGAGATTTTGAGTAACCCCTATTTATTTGTAAACCAAATAAGGGATGCATAATATTGCATAATATTGCATATTCTAATTGAGATCTGACAAACGCAAAATAAATACTTTTAAAGGCATTTAAATTATTAAAATTCTTACATGTTTGTGTAATGAAACCGATATTTTGGGACGCTATATTGGTTATTTTATCAATGTGTTCATCAAGACATAGTTTAGAATCAAACTTTGTTCCTAAGTCGGTAAATTATTTCACCAGTTCAATAGAAACATTGCTAAATTTATAATCAAAATAAATATGAGATTTTTCAATATTAAATTATCATATTTTGCATTTGTTGATATTGAGGTTCAGAGCATTTGAATAACACCAATCATTTAAATTATATAAATCACCTTGTAATTTAATACAATTATTAGTAGAATCAATTTGTTTTTAAATATTTTAGCATCATCCGCGAATAATAAAATATTTGAGTATCTTATTATCGTATTTATATCATTTATAAATAATAAAAATAATGTGGGTGAAAGATGGTCGCCTTGAGGAACACCTGAGAAAACATGGATGGATTCTGAAATAAACTGATTTAATTTAACTAGCTGGATTCGATTAGTCCAAAATAGGTAAGCCATGTTAGTAATGAGTTACAGTATCCATTTGGGATTGAGCTGAGAAAGAATCGATTATATTGTGTTTGAATATGGATAGATTGGTTGTAGTAGAAAGTCTCTTACGAAAACCATGTTGAGTATCATACAAAAAACTATTTATTATACGGGACATTTTTTTATTTATTATTTTTAAAAATATTTTTGGTAGTATAGAGATTATTGAAATTGGATGGTAATTATCTACGGAAGAGCGTTCACCTTTCTTGAAAATAGGGGAAATAAATACAGTTTTCTAGATTGTAGGAAATATACCAGAATTAAGTGAATGGTTAAAAAGAAAATGAATATGAGGTGAGAGGACAAAACGGCATTCATATCAAAATACCCTCACACGTTACGTTCTTTATTTCTCCGATTCATAAAAAGTGCTGGTTCAAATCGGTGTCGCTTTCGAGTCGATCTGACCAAAAATGTTCCCCCTAAGAGCAGTTTTTAGCAACTCCGACTTGATACACGGCCACAGTGGAAACATCAAACGTAAGTTTTAATTTTATTTTTATCGGAGCACAAAGTTAGCAAAACCCGTAACACCGAACGTGTTATCTTGCGCCTCAACGTAATTAACTTATCGGTACGATTACATCCGTGTCTCGCACGCTTTATAATAAACTGTGTGCACAGTAATCCCCGGTATACAGAGTGACATAGTGACTGGCTACTTATATCACCTATTTCGTATACTACCTATCAGAACTTTGACAGGCGCTTCGTTGATTATAGCATTATAATTGGCATAAGCGCTGGATGCCTTGCCGTTCGACTTTTTCTTCTCTACTATATTTGAGGAAAAATTTCTGGAGCCCCAAACGTCAGTTGTCATTGCTCTCCATCGCTAATCCTAGAACTACCTCCAGTTGCGTTACACCATGCACACTAACAAAACTCCCTTAATTGCTACCTCTAATTCGAGAAACACTCAGACCCTCGAACGTAAACTGCGCAGCAGTTCAAATACATCTGCTTCTTCCACCAAACATACGACTCAAGCGGAACAAGTTGAAGGAATAATTTCTATCAATCATGTCATGACTACCCTCTTGTCCTTCCGGGAAGACTTCTCTACATATATTAAAGCTCAATCTGAAACACAAGCTAAGCAATTTAATAATTTTAGAAATGACCTTAAGGGTTTGTCTGGTCTTGTTGCTGAACTTAAAAATGAAAATTCTGAACTACGTGTTTAAGTTGATGTGCTCAAAGAGAAAGTGGCGAGTTTTGAGTCCCATATACCGTCCGATAACACGTCAACCATCGTTTCGCAAGTCATGCAGGAAAATGTTGAGAGTGAAAATTGCTTTTCTAATGTCTTAGTGTACGGTCTCCTTGAATCTGTGTCTTCTACCATACCCCAGCTCACTCTCCTCGAAAAGTTAAATATCTCCCCGGCTTTCTCCAAGGTCTTTCGATTTGGTAAAATACGAGCAGAAATCCCCCGTCCACTGAAAATCATTATAAAGTCTAAAGCCGAAGCATCTCAATTATTGGAGTCATTCAATGACGCAAAACTGGGTGGTGTAGAATTTCCTCAAGACTTTCGTATTGTCAAGGACAAGACTCCTCTTCAACGTGAGCTATTGAAATCGTGCCACTCAGAACTTGACAAGCGAGTTAATCGAGGTGAATCTGGGCTCCACATTAAATACGTGAATGGTGTATCAAAGATTGTTTCAAACATCTCAAAAAACGGATACCGCTTACCACCTCAACCCAAGGCATGAGTAAAAGTAGTGAGTTAAGTTATCTACCAGTTTCCGGCTACAATCAGAATTGTAAAGGTATTCGTACCAAACTTTAAATGTTAAGTGTAATGTTCTTAGTTTTAATTATCATTTCATTGTTATAACTAAAACTTGGCATAATGAATCATTCCTTGATTCCGAGCTAGGTTTCAATAATTATAATGTGTACAGATTTGACAGATGTAAAATAACTTGTACGCGAGGAGAAGGGGTCTTAATTGCTGTTCGACATGATTTATTTTCCAGTATTTTGACTGTGACTAGTTCTGCTGTTGTACACTATTTATACGTTTCACATTTGAGTCCCCAACACTTAATTATCCCTGCTGCATACTTCCCTCCCTCTTCCACTTATGAATCTCATATGTCTATAATTGATTCCCTTATTTCATAATTTCCTAACCATTCTCTTATTTTTTGTGGGGACTACAATTTTCCCAATTTTTTAATATTAAGTGGTCTATAAATGAACATGGTATGCAGCATAGTTTTAATTCTCGGAATCGCATTATTGTAAATTATTATTATATTACAATATTATTATTGTCAGTTTTCGATTATTTTAGATTTTTGTTCTAAAAATATCAATACAATTTTATTTGTTGGTTAAAAAAGCTTGAAAATTTAATAGAAGGCTATTAGTACATTGTTTCAAAGGCACATGAAAAAAATTAAAAATCCAGTCACAATTTTTTTTTATAAGCATCTAAAGTTCAAATATTGACAAAATACGTAAAAATGACCAAAATTTGCAAATTATTTCGAGTTAGAAATTCATAAAAATTTTTCTTTTTAAATCTAAGATTTGAAAGTGTAATACAAGATAACTCATGAGTTTGTCTACCTTTATAAAAAAAAAAAAAAAATGACTACAAGAAACTCAAATTCATTTTTTATGAGCGTTTGAAATTCATATTTATCAACATTTGATATTCACTCAATTTCTCACGTAACGATTTTCTTATTTTATTGTAATTAAAAAACGAATGACTGTAGATAGGTACTTGAAAATTTCACTGAATGTTTATATTATCATTTTCTATACACCATAAGATTTTGAAAATAATTTGACTCTTTATGAGCTGTTTATGGTCATTGTCAGTTTTAAATTTTTTTAGTTTTTTTTTCTATAAATATCAATAAAATTGTATTTGTTGGGTAAAAATACGTGCAAATTGAATGCAAGGCTATATTTTTACAATAGCAGTTGAAAATATTAAAAATACATAGGCACAATTTTTTTTATAAGCATTTAAGGTTTAAATTTTGACAAAATGTATCACATTTAAAATTGAATAGTAATTTTGTAGTTAAAAATGTATAATACGTTCAACTTAATATCATCAAATATACTTAATAATATCATAGGCTGACTGACCGTTTTCGCTCAAAATTCTTTTTCTTATACAGTGATATTATATCATTGAATTCAAATTTAACACTATCCATTACAGTGACTCACTTGTAACCTACTGTACAGCAGAAAGACATCCACTTACCCAACTTTTTTTTGTTAATTTTACAGAAATTCAGTAAAACTATATGGAACAATATGAATAATAACAAAAGGTGGTCAGTGCTCTGCTTGATGTACAGTAATTGTTGAGTATCTATGTCATTGTAATGGATATTATGTCAGATTTAAATTCAACGATAAATCATTACGAAGAACGATTATGGGTGGAAATGGAGTATTAATAAGCATATTTTTATAAATAATCAAATTTAATAATTTAAAACTACTGAATATCAAATATCGTAAAAAAATTTGAATTTTTACCTGAAAAATAATTTTCGAATTTTTGGGATTTTTTCAACATTTTAACTTTCAATGCATATTAAAAATAATCGTACCCTAAAACGGCTAAAAGGTACATTTTTTAATATTTTTAAACTGCTATTAAAACAACTTATGAGGAACCTAGAATTACATGATCAAGTTTTTTATGGAAAAAAATTTACAAAATTGAAAAATTTGTCATTGCTATGATCAGGTCAAAAAGATTCAAAATATTCTGAAAATTTTACATTATATGAAAAATGCTATTATAAATATTTGATGAAAATGTCAAGTCTCTACTGTTATTAGGTGTACTTATTACTTTCGAGATGGAATTTCCTTCCATATTTGCATTATTTTTGAATTCTATCCGGAAATGTAGGTACCTATTTAATATTATCTATATATTCTCAGGAAAAATAATTATTACAGATCAATAGTTAATTACTTAGTTTCAGTAGTCAACTACTCAAAATGAATAGTTTTTGTATAGTTATTGCTAGACGCAAATAGTAAACTACTAAGTGGTCAGTAGTAAGCTAGTAGTTTACTACCCAATATGAATAGTTTTGTATAGTTATTATTAAAGTTAAATGGTTACTACTAAGTGGTTAGTAGTTAGCTAGTAGTTTACTACCGTTAAACTGATCAACTTCTGAAGTTGGTCCACCCATTAATAGGACATTCTATATAGTATATTTTATATGTTACCGGCAATGTATTGAATGCCAGTATTGTATAGAAATATAGTGTTTGTAGTGTTGAGATATATAAAAATGTCAGAACGGTTTTATACCCAATTAAGGAAAAGTCGGAAAAATTTAAAATACCGTTTTTTTATCGAATGAAATATATCAACAGTTATTACATGAGTACTTAATTCAAAGATGGTAAAAATAAAAAAGAAATCGCGTGATTACTTTGTGCTCCAAAGGTATTTAATTTTTTTTATGATTTTTTAAAGTTTTATTGTGTAAGTGGTACCTATAGTAAATAATATTATGTTATAGCAAAAAGCTTTATATCGAAGATAAATAATTTATTTCATATTTTTATAATATACATAACAATTAATAACAAAATATGAGAAGTAAATAGTTGTAAACATTTTTCTTGTTTAAATAAATGGGTATTCAACGAGTTGTATTTCAATTAAAGTTAATTATACAAATTTAAAATAAAATTATATTTAAAGGGTAAAATTTGTTTCTTGTTAGTTAATTTAGGTAAAACTAATATTGAACCTTGTTTAAAATGTCCAATCCTTAGGTATAAAAGTTGAACATTTTATAAATTTTTAACCACATAATAATTATTAATTTTGTCCATATTTGAACTTTAAATGCTTATAAAAAAAAAAGGTGACTACGAATTTTTAATATTTTTTTCTGTCTTTGAAACATTATATTATTAGCCTTCTATTAAATTTTATTACCCAACAAATAAAATATTATTGATATTAATTGAATAAAAACTAAAAAAATTGGAAACTTAAAATGTCCCCATAAACAGCTCAAAATAAGTCAAAATATTTTGAAAATGTTATGGTGTATAGAAAATGCTAATATAAACATTCGGTGAAATTGTCATGTATTTACAGTTATTCGTTTTTGAATTACAACAAAATAAAAAATACTGGGACATTTTAAATTTTGACCCTCCTCCCTCCCCAAAGTACCAACTAGATTCATTTTCACATCAGATAAGATACTGTTGAAGAAAATCTAAGTATTTTTAATGTCCTAAAAGGTTATGACTAGAGCAATAAATGCTTTAAAAACCATAAAAAAATGCTCTAAAAACCATAAAAAAAATGCTCTAAAAAATGTCTAAAAATTAACATATAAAATGTTTGTTAAAATTGAACATTTGAAATGCAATGTTTTTTTAAGGTAAAAAAACCTAATTTAAAATGAACAATACATTTAAAATAATTTACTTAACATTTATTTTTAAAAAAAAAACCGAAATTAGTTGAAAATTTGATTAGAAGTTCAGAGTGTTTATAAATTATAATCACGGCCTACAAATGTTACTATTGAATACATGTTTTTTCCTCTGTACCTAAATAGTTAAAAGTAGACATTTTGGATCAAAAGGATATCACTGATTGTAAATGATTAAATTAACAATAATGAAAATAACATTTTTTTTCTTTTTTATAGAATGTCAGTTAATATAAACATATACCATGTAACATAATATAGTAACATAATTTTAAACCTAACTTTACAAATAACTAAAATAAATTAAATTCTGTAGTACTTCCCATGGACATAAATATATTTTTGCAGGCAAAGAACTTAAATAATTTTTAGAAATATAATTAGTAAAAACAATTTTGATTTCTAGTAGATTTGTTATTAATTCAAAATATTAATTGTTCTAACAGATATGGGGAACTGCTTAATAATTTTTGTAAAAACTAACTAACTAACTAACTAACTAACTTCATATAGTGGAGGTAATTTCTTCTTTTATTTAATGATTCCAGATTAAAGTAAATTAATAAACCATTATACTCAGTACGTCGTTGGCGTTCTGTCTTGAATTTGAAACAGAGATAACGGAGAAAACGGTTTACACCCCTGTATATGTGTACTTATTACTTACAGTGTTTGGAAAATAAAATATTAAAATGTAACTATAAAGTATAAATACAAAATTTTACTTTGTAATATTATCTATGTATAAATGTATAATACGTTGTTATCATCATTATGTAATTGAATAATAATAATAAGTAATAATTTATTACTAATAACCATCATATACCTAGTTAAAAGTATGGTGATAGGTACTTGTATCAACAATAATATCATTAAATATACTTAGTAATATCATAGGCTGACTGACCATCTTCGCTCAAAATCGTTTTTCTTGTACAATGATATTATGGTATTGAATTAAAATTTAACACTATTTATTACAGTGACCCACTTGTAATCTACTGTACAGCAGAGCGACACACATTCACCCTCTTTTTTAATTTTATTTTTTGACTAAAAGTACTAACTAGATTTAATTTGAATACAGCAACCATCCTCAAAGCAATAATCCAAGCATTTTTACTGCTTTGAAAGAGCGATGACACAGAAGAATATTAATATTTATATACGTCATAAAAAACACAATGCCTTGTAAGACCACACTACCCATTTAAAGAAGAAAAGAGTTGTTTAAAGTAGTCTTAATGTCT